CTGACATGGGGACAGACAAACAGATAGCCAGATAGAATGATAGATTAAACACCAAAAAAGAAAAGCGGGTTTTTCCCGAAATGTTGTATTTGTCATTGTTTATAATCAGTACCTGACTTTTCCTACGATATCAAGCAGAACCAGAATTTGTTTTCGGCAGTGAATATAAATGTTTTTGTGAATGCAGATTGTGAAGGCTGACAAAAGAAGCTAGCCATAAAAACGGACAATATGCCGTTCCGAGAATTCCGAACGACATTAATATCTTAGTGCAAATTTCGGGTTGTAGCCAAGATTTCTCGCGCGCTTAAGTCACTTGTTTGTTATGTATTTATGGAAAGGCAATGTGGCTAAAATTGCACGTTTCCTTTTCTTGGACAGATACGACAAATGACTAGCAAAATACATATTCATGTATGATTATCAAGATATGTGTTCAGCAAAGTTTTTCATCTCAGGACACGTACGCACACATATTTATTATATTTCGGCAACAACCTTTCTATTATACATGTCTCATTGAAGAAAATCTTATGAGTTTTTTTTTATTAATTTTTTTCTAATGTGCTTACATTTTTCTTTTTGGTCTGAATGGGCTCTAAAGTTATATAAAAAAATCCATGCCAAGTCTTAAGCCGACCTCATTTGACATCGGTGGTCACGTGTTCCTGGTCGTTTCAAAGACACACTAATATAGAATTCCAACGACATTTTTTTTTTTCGTACAGTTTAGTATTTGTACGTCTGGAACACAAACCCTGAAAACATATTACCAACGAATCCCTTGAAAATAGCAAATGAATTCGCCGTAAGTTCTTTGAACGGTAATCATTAAGGACGTTAACTGATCAGATTGTCGAAGTACAAAGAGTCAAAAGACAAAATGACGAATGGACAAAATGTCCAACAGACAACTTATCGAAGAAACAAATTGTCGAATGGAAAAAGATTTGAAATGATTAAATGACGAATGGACAAAATGTCAAACAGACTAAGAGGCGAACTGACAAAGTCTCGAAAGAACAAAATCTCGAACGGGTTAAGTCTCGAATGAACAAAGTGTCGTATGGACAATGTGCCGAACAGTTAAATAAGGTCGAACTGACGAAATAACGAATGGACATCATGTCGAAAAGACAAAGTTTCAAAAGGACAAGATGTTGAAGAAAGTAAAAACGATAATATCGTCATGATTTTAAACCTCAGGTCAAATAAAAAAGCTATTCTAAAGTTGTTATCGCCTTAAAAATGATTGATCGTCCATAATCATCTGTTAGCGGTCCGATTTTGGTAGGGCATGGTCGTTTATTAAGCTTTATTTTTTTACTAATTTAAATTGAGAGTCTTTTCGTATATATATATATATATATATATATATATATATATATATATGTAAATATATATTCATGTATACGCATACAAAAATAAGTTCAGTCGGTATACAAAACTAGAAAGGTGTGTAAGACTTATTCAACCTATACAGTGAGGCAATTCTGATAGAATTTTAAGTCCTATCAGGATTTATTATTGGCGGTCACAGTCGTAACAACATAAGACGTGTAGATGACACAGTGTTGATAGGAAAGAAAACTACAAAATATCCTACAGAAGTTAGTGAAGGAAAGCGAGAAGAAGGGACTAAAAATCATTTACAAGACAGAATGCAAGGTTTTTATATTAGATTAAAATTAAAATTTAATGGATAAAGTGTCAAAAGGCAAAATGACGAATGGACGTAATGTCAAACAGACTAAGAGTCGAATTGACAAAATGTCGGACGGACAAAGTGTCGAACGGACTATATCTCAAATGAACAAATGTCGAATGGACAATGTGCTGAAAGGCAAAAGAGTCGAACTGACTAAATGACAAAGCTGCCTGGATCAAAGTGTAGTACGCTGCCTTTGTGAGCTTCCGAGTCGGCGTCTGTCGAACTCTCTGCATTAGCAGAGAGGAACCCGGACGAAGCTTTGCCGAAGGGAAAGGTTTCGTCCGGGGAGGTAGACAGGGCCTGAACACGTCTAGGCGGGTTCAAAAAGGCTATATTTTTCGCCGAGCCTACGGGCTCGGGGATACCCACATTAAACCGGCCTTGTGCCACATTCTATCCTCGTGGGTGGATTGATAAATACTAAATGACAAATGAACATAATGTCGAAAAGACAAAATTTCAAAAGGTCAAAATGTTAAAGAAAGTGAAAACGAAAATATTGTCATGATTTTAAACCTCTGGTCAAATAATAAAGCTTTTTATCATCTTAAAAGTGATTAATCCTCCATAATCATCTCTTAGTGGTCCGATATGTTTGATATCGGTGTCGTTTATTAAACTTTACAGACAAAATGATATTAGCGTTTTTCTTATTGCTCACAATCATTTGTTCATGCTTGAGAGTATTATATCGTCTATAAAAGAAATATGGCCTGTATTGAATAATTTCATTGTCTCCGGTAGGAGAAATTTACCGACTAATTGTTAGTGACGGAGTCGGGGCAGCGTGTGAGAGAAAATCTGCAATTCTAGCACTGCAAACATGAACCCTACGAGGAGAAAATTCTCTCTGGAGAGTTTTAAAGGAGGAAACGCCTTTTATTTTACCGGGGAATATCATTTTCCGATGAGTTGCTCATTCGTCAATGCACGGCACAATATTTTTGCGGATTTGTGATCGTCAAGTGACCCTTTTAATTATATCGTATTTCATAAATACTATATATTTTGAACAATCTCCGTTTTTTTTTTAAATTTTAGGAGATTTCTTCCTGTAATCTTTAAATTATACTCCTCTATTTTACAAGCACAATAATATTTTTTTCTTATCGCTCTCAATCATTTGTTTATGCTTGAGTGTAATATATTGTCTATAGAAGAAAGGGATATTTCTTGCCGGTTCGGTCGCTGAAGAGGCCTTTTTCAACTGATATTGCAGGCAATGTCTTATATTGGTCTAATATAAAATCATTTTAAAATTGTAAAATCCATACAATATGTACATATTCTGGTATGTATACAGCAAATCAAAACACATTCTAACGATTAATTGTTATTTTACTACAAGTATTGAAAATGTAAACTCAACATATTTGTGACAAAATGTGACGGGACCTTTTTTTACTGCCTAATATCTTCTATATCTGTCTATATTTCTGAGATAAGGTATTATGTACATTATTTACATTATTCGGACTATTGTCCTCATCTTTGTCATATATTTATTACAACATTTCGGCCTTTCAGTATCTGTCTATATTTCTGAGATGAGGTATTATGTACATTATTTATATTATTCGGACTATTGTCCTCATCTTTGTCATATATTTATTACAACATTTTCGTTTACGCTCCGGCCTTCTCCAGGTGATTTGATAACTGATATCCATTAAAGCATGGCACGTGGAACTAGAACAGTCTGCCCCAGTGAGCGAAATAAAGGGTTCAGTTCGACATTCCAATCACCTGAAGAAGTCCGGAGCAACCAGGCAAAACATTGTAATAAATATGGTAACAAAGATAGGGACAATAGTCCAATAATGTAAATAATGTATCTGATATCTTCTATTATGTCAGGTCAGTCGACGATTGCTACTTCTACCAGATATCCCGTACTACCTGCCGTATTGAGGATCGGCGACTACACCGATTCTCCCTCCAGACACTTCTCGTGAGGATGATGCCTAGACACTAAACAGAGTTAGAAAGTAAACTTGTCAAAGGGCAAATGAACATTCTTGTAGGATCAACTTTCATCTAGTACAATGGGGTACGCTGGGTATCATAGCTATGTATGCAGTCGGTAGTAGGTCCGAGAAAAAAAATATATATATATAGCATCGTAATGATTTTTAAATCTCAGGTCAAATAATAAAGCTATTCTAAAGTTTTTGCTGCCTTAAAAATGATTGATCCTACAGAATAATTTGTTAGCTGTCCGATTTTTTGTGGGGGTCATTTATTAAGCTTTACAGATCTGTGTGTCGAAGGACAAATTATCTAAAGACAAAATGACAAATAGGCCTAATATCAAACAGACTGAGGCAAACAGATAAAGTGTCGAACGAACAAAATGTCGAACAGGCTAAGTCTCGAATGAACAAAGTGTGGAATGGAAAAAGAATCGAATTGAACAAACGACGAATGGACGTAATGTCAAAAAACACAAACTTTCAAAAGCACGAAATTTTGAACAAATTAAAAAACGAACACATCGTCATTATTTAAAAAAAACACGGCTCAAATAATCTAAGTTTTTTTAAACCTTTTTATTGCTTAGCTTTGGCGCCATTTAATAAATAATATTCCCGCCATATTTACCGGGTGTTTATGTGACCAAATAATTTTAGTTTGTTCTCATCTGATCATAAAACAGAGTTGCAATATTCATTTAGTCCTGGGTATGACGATAAACTATATCCGGCAGCAAGGCCTCTTATCGGGAGGTTTTCAGGAGCGTGGAACCACCTCTTAATTGCTGTTCCCAGATCCACCCTGACACAAAGTGGTAGCACCTGTTAGGGTCCCATTTATAGGCAAATACTGAACCCCCAAAGGAAAACAAAATACTATGAGAGTTTTTAAATACAATTTTTGGAGTGGAAGTTTTTGTATGAAGAAAATAAGCAATAATGCATTCTTATCGCGAAGTGATTAATAATCCATTTTATAGTTGAATTGCCGGCGGTGAATTTTGCGGCAAAATGGCCAACGATACATTTTATCTGTAGTTGAAGGCAGACAGTTGCTTTCAAAATATTTAGATTTCGGTATTGAATAACCCTTGTTATACCACTAAACAAAATCAACTAACGAATCCAATATTCACGCAAATATTCTTGACTTCTAGTAAAATCTAATCTGATTTTTAGTGGTTTAACCATAAGCAATGGAGTTTTCTTTCGACAAAGTTCAAAGTCCTGCTCAGTCAAGCCATGAAGTGAACGTCTTCGTTAATATATCTGCTCACTGTACATCATTGGCAATGCCCTTTGCCTGTTGGAGGGGC